AGTGAGTGCCGTGGCGTCAGCCTAGCTCACAGCAACCTCACACTCCTGGGCTCAAGCGATCCTACTGCCTCAGCCTCCCAAGTAGCTGGGACTACAGACATGCGCCACCATGCCTGGCTAATTTTTTCTATACATTTTTAGTTGTCCAATTAATTTCTTTCTCTTTTTAGTAGAGACGGGGTCTCGCTCTTGCTCAGGCTGGTGAGTCCCAGTTTTAAACAAAACCAAAAGTTATTTCTCCAATATTATTCTTGTTAAATATAATAAACATCTAATGGCTATATTAGTTAAAATTATTTTTAACTAGTAAAACATAGCATTATTTAGTATTTAGAAAACAAAGAAAAAAAACCAATGCATCTATTACAATTGTTGATATATTTCCTTCCAGTCTTTTCCAAATGAATTGTTACATAATTGAATTCTAGAATACATAAAAATACATATTTTGTATCCTCCTCCTTTCAGTTATATTTCATCATTAGCATTTTCCATGTTGCTGTATTTGTCTTTATAAGCATTGTTCAGGGCTGCAAGACATTCTGTTTAGTAGTCACACTATAACTTACTATAGGCTTAATAAGGGACAAAATGGTAACCTAAATTTTTTTTTGGAGACGGGGTCTCACTCTTTGCCAGGCTGGAGTGCAGTGGTGCAATCAAAGCTCACTGCAACTTCCAACTACTGGGGCTCAAGTGATCCTCCTGGCTCAGCCTCCCTAGTAACTAAAATTATAGGCGCACACCACCACTTCTAATTTTTATAAAATTTTTTTTTATAGAGATGGGGGTCTTGTTATGTTGCCCAGGCTGGACTTGATGTTTTATTTTGCTTTCTTTGGTGTGTATGTGATTACTAATGAGACTAAACATTTTTTTTCATCAGAGATTCCATATTTAATTGTTTTCTACTAGTTTTGCTATTTTCAATTTAACATTTAATTCTTCAATCTAATAGGGATTAATTTTGTGTGCAAGTGAAATGATGGTTTAATTTTAAATGAATTTCCTTCTCCCCTGCTAATCAGTTAATCCCATATCACACTGATTTGTGATAGCTTGTTTATTATATGTTTAATTCTTATATTAACTAAAACCTTTCTCTGGACTATTCAGTCTTATCTGTTATGCTAGCATCTCAGATTAAATATTAGCATTTTAAAGTATGTTTTACATTCTAGAAGAGTTATCCCTTCTTCATTATGTCATTTTTGGAGAACTTAAAAAATTTTCTTTTACAGTTTGTTGTTACAGGTGACTTTTATAATGTTTCTGTGCAGTTGAAAAACTATTATGATCTCTATAAGCATTACATTAAATTTAGAAACTAATTGTGAAGAACTAATATTTAGAATGCTGATTTTTTCCTATCCATTAAATTCAATCGATTCTATTAGTTTTTTAAAAATTTATCATTTAAAAGAAATTATAAAAGTAACATGATCAGCTCTATTAATTTTCACCTGGTTCTGAAATACAGTCACAAAGGCCATTGATTCTTTTTATATTGAATTGTATTGAACCAATCTTCCCCTGCCACTCTCTGATTCATTTGCTCTTCTTGAAGAGTCTCCAAAGGTAATGTCTACCTTTTCCTTTCTGATCTACACTGATAAATGACTGAATTAACTCCCCTAGAAATGATACTCTTCTAAAACACAGACCTATTTACCCACTCAACTCTCTAGGGACACAACATTGTACACAACAGGTATCTGTCTCTGTACTCACGGAATTTACAGCTTCACAATACTTGATTAGTTGTAGAAATTACTTACAAAGATAAAAAAAAAAAAAAAGATAAGCCTGGCATTTTTCTTTTCATGAAATGGATAAATGAAGAAAAACACTTACTGCATCACTTAAGACTTCACTGTTTATAGGTAATATGTGTTCAATTCGCACAAAAGGTAAGAGAGAAGAAAGGATCTCTCTCAGCTCTTCCATGTCCAGGTCTCGTCTTTTTACACCTCTTTTGTTCACACTGTGGGCAGTGCCACTCAGTAAGTTTGGCTCTATGAGACAGGAAACGAAAAGTCTTCAACCAAATCCAAATGTTCAGAGATAGGCTTACTTCCTTCTCTAGTACATACACTTTTACTATCACTCTATAATACTTAAAAAGGTTATAAATCAATTCTTTTTCTTTTTCCTGAGATGTTTATTTAATAGAGATGTTCTTGGACAAAGAAAAAGCATGGTGTCAACAGTACAATAACATTCTTTTATGATTGTTCTTCAATACAGTATTCTTTTCTGTATACTAACTCAAAGGAGAAAAGATGACAATCTATTAAAATCTAGTTTGACCACAGGCTTTTTCTTAAGCTGTCTCAGTTTTGTGGCCAGTTTTCAGTACAATAAGGACATTGCGGGGCATATGATACTTCTGGTCACTGTAGGTTATCAGTATGCTCATTAGGCTATATATGTTTAACAGCAATTTAACAACGTATTTATCACTTGGTGTCCAAAGCAGCAAAACCTAGTGTGCGCTCTAGCTAGTTTTAAGATTTTTATGAAAGTCTCCTAAATTTCCACAATGTGGGAATGTTACTGCATAAAAGTAGAATCTTTGATCCTTGACATGTAATAGATGTCCATTGTCCAGAGCAGATAATAAATGTTTTCTTCACTGGATATTAGTGAAAGGGAAAGCATATCACATATGCTTATGACAATGAAATGGGAAGAAAAGTTACATAATTTTGGAACTCTTTAATCATATCTTTAACCTAGAGGCTGTATTTTTTCCTTAAAAGATTA